TTTGATGGCATTATGTGACTTTTCCATTTGAAGTTTGATGGCATTATGTGACTTTTCCATTTGAAGTTTGATGGCATTATGTGACTTTTCCATTTGAAGTTTGATGGCATTGTGTGACGTTTCCATTTGAAGTTTGATGGCATTGTAATTTAATTCATAATATTTTATCACCTAATTTATAAATATAGCAAAGGTGCATAATATGACATTTTTCCGAAGTGCACAATATGACATTTTTCACTATTAAATTGTAATTGCTGATCTCTGACTGAATTCTATTCTGATGCAATTCACTATTCTCAGAGCTGGCTACTTTCCTGATTAACTGAAAAGGTCCACTGTTTCAACTAGATTTGTTAAACAAGATTTCCTTTTTATAAATCCCTGTTGATGTTTATTTAATAAGTCATTATTTGACATGTTTATATATTGTGTCAGTTATAATACTTTTAAGTACTTTAGAAACCATTAAGGTTAATGAAACTGGTCTGTAGTTGCTAGCAACTAACCTGTTCCTATTTTTGAACATTAGGGTTATGTCTGCTAATTTCCATTCAATTGGTACACTTCCAGTTTTAAGCGATTTTTCAAAGATCATAGCGAACGGTAAAGCAAAGGCAAATTGTTTTAGTACTACTGATTTTACCATGTCTGGTCCTGGAGATATTCATTTAACTGAAGAAGTTTTTCTTTAATTAGTTTCACAGTTGTTATATTATGTATTATTGTCTCACAAGGATAAGACAAAAAGTAATTTTTTAGAATCTGTATATTATTGGTATTTCTCTGGTAAAAACTGATTTAAAGTGATCATTCATAATGTTAACTATTTGGTTAGGTTCTTTAATTAGTTCATTATTTGATGTTAAAGCTCGGATGGTATTTTTTAAATTTTTTTTGCTCTTTTTTTTTTAACATCTAACTCAGACAAGGCTACACACAACCACTATTAGAGTTGGAAGTTACTGAAAGAGAAAAGATAAAGTTTGTGGAGCAAGATAACGATTGACAGACAACTTAAAAGATTGCAAATTATATGGATCAGGAAAGCAAGATAAAAGAAGCGAATTCCAAAGAGCTGATGTTAGAGAAAAAAAACTAGGTGAATAAGAGTTTTTGGAGCACTTAGAAACAGTCACAGAAAAAGGATGAGACTTAATTGAATGATGAGTAACGCAAGTATGAATTTTAATAGATAGCACAAGAGACACTAGCTCTTTAGAGCAGTGCCCATTATAATATTTGTAGAAAAGAGAAAAAGAAGTAACATTACAACGATGTGATTATGGTTGTAGGTTGGTTGCAAGAGCAGGTCCAACTATGTTTACAATGCGTTTTTGCACCTTGTCTAAAAGAGAAAGAGCATCATTAGAAGATCTGCCCCAGATATGGCAAAAGTATTCTATACAAGGACAGATTTGTGATCTCTAGACATAAAGAATAGAATCCCGAGTAAGAAAGTATCGAGCATGATAAAGAGATGCAACCTTAGCAGATGCTAATTTTGCAATGGATTTGATATATGATTTCCAAGAAAGATCAGAAATAAGAGTTAATCCTAGAAGATATAGGGTAGATGACTCATCAAGTACATCACCATTCATATATATAGGAAGATCTAAATTATTACGATAACGATTAACTGAAAAAAGTCTGAATTAAAGTTCACCAGCCTCTGTGAGCCCCATGCTGAAGCAGAAGTGAGTAATAATACAGAAGTGAAACATATCTCAATATATTTGAATAGTAGTTTTGGATTGTGGATTGATTTAATTACAAGATTCTTTTCAAATGAGTGTTTTGCTTTTAGAACTTTACTTTTTAAGTCTTTGGTTTGTATTTTATTTTGAATTTAGCCTGTCTATTGTTCTTTAAATATAACATTTTTTTCGATTTTTTTAACATAGATATTTGTATTTTTGTTTATCTAATTTTGTATTATAATATTTATAATTAAATTATTTTTATGTGTAACTTTTAAATAAATTTATAGTGATTTAAAATTGCATTTAGTAAATTCAAAAAATTTGTAAATAAAATAAAATAAAGTTGTTAAAGATTATGTAAAATCAATTATCTTCTTTTATGTTTTACGCAAATATAACATTTTATTGTAAGTTTCAATTTTGATTTTTTAGTTGTTATTTTTCGATGTACTTTACCAACAAAGTTAGTTTATCAAATATATTTTAATTCATTTGATAAAAAAATGTTAATAACTTATTTTAAAGTATATTATTTATTGCAATGAAAGTTACAAATATTATGCAAAGAAAGTTACAAAGCTTTTTGTAACTTTCCTAACTTAAGATAAACAGTAAAAATGTAAATAAAGAGTTTTAATATATAAAACATATTGAAAAATCTAAACTAGATAATAACTGACATTGATTTAAAAATAACTTTTTTTTTTACATCAGAATGAATCAATTTTTTGAATTTTGAATCTTGCTTATTGATGACATTGCTTTTTTTTTTTCACAATAAAAAAATATTTATTGTTCTCTATCAATTTATTTCTTTGTCATGTGTACTAGTGTCATGTACATGTGTCATGTGTACTAGTTTTCTACATAACACTATAAAATCTGAGCCTGATATAGGTTTTTTTTTTTTTTTTTACTGTAATCTTTCGTCCCTTTTTTTTGGAAAATTTTGGTTATAGGCTGTGCCATAAGGCTTGCTAACATCATGATATAGTATAGTTTTTTTTATTTATTTGTATTAAATTAAGTGACAATAAAAAATAGACAGTGCTAATGACGACATGACTGACGAATTAGCAGCATTCAGCTTCGACAATCAAAAAGAGGAAAGACCATTGGAAAAAGTTGAGGGGAAAATCAGTTATTAAAATTATAATAAATAATTTTAAAAAATTTTAATTTTAAATTTCTTGTGTTATAATAATCTCTTTATTCTTAACTATAAATAAAACATGAATTTAATATTACCCTATTTTTTAATTTGATAAAAAATAAAAAATAAAAATTTTTTGTTTTTATAATTAAAAAAATATCAAGGAATACAAACCCCATTATTTGTTTTTTAATTAAGTTAACAGCACAATATTATTAAATAAATATATCAATGGTTGAATTAAGCGATCGTGATTTGCGATATCTGGAAAAATATCTGGTCTTCAAAATTTTAGTTTATGCAAAACCGTGTACATTGTTTTAAAGAAATTAACTTAAATTTACAGCATTTGCAAATTAACTTAAATTTGTCAGCAGAAAATTTATAAAAAACAAAGTAATAAAGTTATAACTTCAAAAGAAATAACACTCTAGTCACTAACTGCATTATAAAAGTTATAACAATATAATAGTGTTATTACTTTTATAACACACTTATAACTTTTATAATTCAATCTTTGTTCAAACAGCATAAATAATCCCAAATATTATATGAAGTCAAATAGCATCTAGAAAAAAGTTGATAATCAAATGATGCTAAAAACTTTTGAAACTTAAACAGATACATGCTTTATAAAAAAATGTAATGCATTTCTAAAATGTTACTAATGGTCCGTAAAAATGCGGATTAGTTTTAAAATCAACCAATAAAAATTTTGAATTACTTGTTTTTAAAATTTACGCACGTTTTTGCAGACTATTAGTAACATTTTAAAAAATAATTTTTGTAAAATAATAAACTATTAATAAAATACATAGTAAAGTTTCCTAAAGTTTTGAATATTCTTTGAATATCCACTCTATTTTTTCTAGATGCTTTTTTACTTCAATTAAAATTTGGGATTATTTATGCTGTTTGAACAAAGGTTGAATAATAAAAGTTATATATGCGTTATAAAAGTAATAACACTATTATAGTTTTATTACTTTTATAATGCAGTTAGTAACTAGAGTGTTATTTCTTTTAAAGTCGTGAGTTTATTACTTTGTTTTGTTTTGATAACTTATTTGCTAACAAATTTAAGCTAACTTGTTCAATGAAAACAAAGTACACGGTTTTGCATTAACTAAAATTTTGAAGGTCAGACATTTTTCCGGATATTGCAATTTGTGATCGCTTAATTTGACTTTTGTATATCAAAACAAAGAAAGCAAAAAATTATCATCATCAGTTTTAATTTTCAATACTAAATCAATCAGAACTTTTAAACTTTTTTAAAAAAAAAAAAAAAAAGTTTTCTTTACATTTAAACATAAAGCATAAAATGTTATATACATTTAGTTATATTTTATTTAAAACTTTTGTTTCTTTCAGTAGCACTTCTGTATAAGCTCTTTTGTTATTGTTTTTTTTTCAACTTTAAAAAAAAAAAAAGTTTTCTTTACATTTAAACTTAAAGCATAAAATGTTATATATATTTAGTTATATTTTATTCAAGACTTTTGTTTCTTTCTTAAAGTATGTAGAATGGTCTTTAAAATTTAATGTACGAGCTGCATGTGCAAAGAGATTGATCAAGTTTTTTTTTTTTTTTTTGGCTACCCGATACCCAATTTAAATAATTTAAATAGTTATAAAAATTATTAAATAGTTATAAAAATTGCAATTAAAAGCTGATAATATAGACGAAGTTGGAAAGTATAAAGAACTACTTTATTGATGTAGAGTCATGAGTGTGCTGTTGTACACATGACTTTATTTGAATGATGCAGACACTACAAAATATTTTTAATTGGAAGGAGGTTGTATAACAAATAAAAAACTTTTTATGAGCACAGTCTTCACCAATTTTTAAATATGATTATCGCTCTTGCAGACATTATCTCAGGCACTTTTCTTTATCGCAAACCCTGTAATTGCCTGATTGTTCCCTAAATAACCTAATTGTCCAATAATTGTGATATTGAAATTTTTTGATGCGTTTAATCCACACAAATAATTTGCTTATAACATAATGCTATCTAAATTATCTTCTGACTAATGTTTTTTTGTAATTATCTATTTTTTTTTTGATTTTTTTTTTTAGATGATTATTTTTTTATTAGTTGTTATTTTTTATTGATAATTGATTGTTTTTATAGATGTTACTATTTCTGTTATACCACCTTTAATGCTTTCAACATTAACATCTGTTGATCGAAATAAAAATATTGAAACAATTGATGGTCAAAGTAAGATACTTGTTATTTTTATTGCAAAGTTCAAATAGATTAATTTAATAGAATTTCCTTGGATACTCTTTATTCTTAAACTTTTTTTAAAATAATATATTATGGTTTATTTCAATATAACACTTTTTATTGTTATCATAAGTATTTTTATTTGTACATTTTAATTAAATTAGCAAGAAAACATTGACATAATATAGTTTAAATGTATTATGAATTTTGATTTTTGTAATATGTAGATGCAGCTGTTCAAGGTGTCTATTCAATTTTGTTCAACCAAAAAGTAGATGACGATGATGAAGACAGGTTAGATTCTCCAAAAAGTTCAACGCATTATGGTGTGTCTCAGGCAAAACAACTTAATGAGTACCTAGAAAAATCACAGCTACCTGGTATAACAAGTCAAGAGCAAATGTATCTTCTTTTACTTTCTGAAACTGTGGCTTCTACTGATTATGACTTAGAAGTTGGTGTTAATGAAAAAAATCAAAAAACAAAAGGTAAAAATTAAATTCAAAAAAAAAATTTAGTTTTAAAAGTTTAAATGTTTAGCTTAAGTTTTTTTTTTTTTGTGTGAATAATAGTTATACTGTATATACTATATATAAATATATATATATGTATATATATATATATATATATATATATATATATATATATATATATATATATATATATATACATATATATATATACATATATATATATATATATATATATATATATATATATATATATATATATATATATATATATATATATATATATATATATATATATATATATATATATATATATATATATATATATATATATATATATATATATATATATATATATATATACACACACGCACACATATATACACATATATCAGGGGCTATTCTCGAGTGTTTTCGACAGTGTCTACCATATTTAGGCAAATGTTTTTTATTTTTTTATTATGTTTTTTATGGCAATTATTGTTTTTTTCTTAGAAAAATAGAATTATTCAGCAAAATTTCCTGTTGACTGGGGGGTACCTTTACCCAATTTTTTTCCCAAGAATATTCCCTATATATATATATATATATATATATATATATATATATATATATATATATATATATATATATATATATATATATATATATATATATATATATATATATATTTATATATGTATATATATATATATATATATATATATATATATATATATATATATATATATATATATATATATATATATATATATATATTTATATATATTATATATTATATATATGTGTGTGTTACATTAAATTTAAAAATGCAAGCAGTTGTTGAAGGATAAAAAGTTAGATTTAAAGTGAATTTTTGGTTATTCTGCTTGAGATTTTTGACACTGCAAAATCATTCTGTGTCATGATTTGTGTCTGAAACTTTCATAGCTGTTGCTGAGATGTCTTCAATAGTATGTTTAACTGCTTGAGTATTGCATGGAATACCACTCAAGACATCAATGTAGAACTAAAAATGTTCAAGCTTATTATTAGAAACAGTTAATAAAAGTGGTGGTGGTGTTGCGATAGCAACAGAGTGTCAACTATCTTTATGAATGACGAAACTTTCGGGTCAAGCTTGATGCTTGACTTATCAAAGATATCTTGCTCCATTACATTGCATAAACATTTACAATGAATCCTGTAATTCAATGGTTTAAAGGATTTTCTTTAGACATATACAAACGTAAAATATGATTGACTTTTGTTAGCCATCTTGAATTGTGGAGATTTCCTAGCATAGCAGTCTGAAAGAACAATATTTGATCGCAAGCAGTGTTAAACCCTGCTAAACAACTAAGCAAGTTTTAAAAAGGTATATCTGATTAGAGCTTAAATCTTTCATAACATTAACACTTAAATCCTCAACTTTGCCAGGTATATGTTTAAAGTTCACAATAACATGCGGTAGTGGTGTAGTGGTAGAGCGCTCGCTTCATAAACGAGTGGTTCCAAGTTTGATCCCCACCACGTCCCTGGTAGTACCGCGCTCAACTTGTTTCTCCGCGCAGCGGCTTTGTTCGTCAAGGTTTGTGTTTCGGAGTTATAGAGTTGAGAGAGGGTTATAGCCACAAATAAGTAGCCTCCTCGTCTGTAGTGGCCTTCTCGGCCTTAAGGAGATGAATTGAAATAAAAAAAAAATAATCAAAATAAAAAAACTCAATGTTTTGGATCAAAATCTAGTGCAATACTTATTTTATGTTGAAGTAACTGGACTATTTGAATGTCGACCATTTAGAACAGAGAAATATTTTCTAAAAGACCAACCATTTCAATGTTCTCTGAAGACCTTCTGATTTTCTGATTATTCTGTTGTATATACAAACAATTGTATTTACTTTCTGATTACTCCATATGCATACAATCCTTGTTAAGAAGTGTTAAACTGTTTTGTATTTTATGTCGGAAATGGCAATTTTACCTACGCGTTAAGCCATTTATGTTATGCTAAAACTTTTTTATTTTTAAAACAGTTTATGCGGAAAATATTGAGCACTATAAAACCATTTTAACTTTTGTTGTTGATAAAAAAAACAAATAGTTTTATTTAAATTAAGTTTATATTAACAAGTTTAAATAACTTTATTAAATTTAAGTTGAATTTCTTTTAAAATTTAAAGTGCTTTATTTTACAATTTATTTTTTTTACTGTAAATATTTCCTATGTTAAAGAAAAAAAAATTCTCTTTATCAAATTTAAGTTAAGTTACTTTTTTATGTTTTTATGTCTTTATGTTTAACTATTTCATTTATTTATTTGTAGTTTTAAATGAATAAATATATAATTAGTAATTATATATATATATATATATATATATATATATATATATATATATATATATATATATATATATATATATATATATATATATATATATATATATATATATAAAACAGTGCTCGAAATGAAACCAGACGCAGCGGGATGATAAGATTGCTGCCTTGTCCCAAAAGTTAGTTGATGTACTGAGGGTTTGGCACTAGGCACTCTCATGCTTTAGCAGACTATATGATAGCCAATGTATTTACTGAAACCCCTGTGATGCCAGAGAGCTTTTTTAAACACTCATTCATAGTTCCAATTGAAGATGACTTAAATTAAGTCAAAACATGTATTGATTATTAAATATCGCAAATATACAAAACATGTATTGATTATTAAATACTTAATCTATAGTATTTAAAGTTTCTTACATATATGACAATCATCAGTCATTAAAAAAAAATTAAAAACAAAAATAAAACCCACTAAAAATTACAAAATTCTTTGTAATGAGTTCTTTACATTGCTACTAGACAAACATGGTAGCCACAAAAGAAAATGCAAAAGAGTAGCTAATCACAGGTGTTTATTCTTGTGCATTTTGAAATCAATTTGTTTCCTTTATTTAACAGATTTTTACCATTATATGTTTAAATGAGAAATTTTTTATATAAGCAAAGATTGAAGATTTTTGATAAAGAGTTGTATGGATTGCAACATTTCACAATTTTGTTTTTTTGTAAACCAGACTACAAAGAAATAGTTTATTTTTCTTTGTAGTCTGGTTTATTTGACAACATGTGACTTAATAAATAATCTTTTTCATCAAGCACTAATTTTTCAATGGTCAGATAGATTTGTTGACAGGTTTTTTATTCAGTTGTACCTTGGTTCTAAAATATTTGTAATAGTGCAAATTAATTATGGTCTTGATATTTGGCATACATAAGTAGGTTATTTAATTCATTTTAATTAATTATCTTGCGAAGTTTGTGACCAGAAAGTTCAAATAGTCAAATAACGACTGTCTATTTTTGTTGAAATATTTGTACTGAAAAGTGGATTGTATTAGATTACGTTTCATTTATGATTTTTATATGAATTTGTTGTTTTTTTGTTAGTAGATCTGTACTTTCCAGTCTGTCAAATACTTTGTGTAGCTAGGACTAAATGTTTCAAAACAAATCATACTTTACATAAAATTTCTGTTTTAGAATTAACTGCCTAGAAAATGACATTTTTAAACTAAAAAATAAAAAATATGCATTTTTGAAAAACTTTTTGATTATAATTTTTTTTCATGTTTTTTTTTTTTTAATATAATTATAATTATTACTATATATATCATAGTATTAGAGGCCCGTCTGATGTTTAAGGGTCTTGTGCGACCCCTAAAAATGCTTTTACTCAAAAAATATTTAAACCCAGTATTATTTTTTTATATAGAACACATTTAGGGGTTAAGAGCAGACATTTGAAAAATGTTGTTTTAAGAGCCAGCTTAATATATATACCAGGCTTCGACAGGAATGGTGTGCGATTGCACTCTGTAACCAACCACGCTAATAGTTTTTTTTCTTTACAACTTGATCACGGCTTTTTTGATATTTTAACAATTTAAAGGCAAAAAAATGTTGTATTGTGAATAACTTTTAATCATTGATCTTTTCTAAAGTTTTTATTTTATGCAAAAAGCTTTAAATAAAAAAACATAAAATTAATTATAATGATCGTTTAAGCAAATGCATTTTGCGTAAATTAATAAAAAATGCAAATTTGTTTTTTGCTTAGATCTCATGTAGGAAAATTTTATATGAATTATACAAGAATAAAAAATAATTTTATTTACTTATATAAAGTTGTATTTTGTTGATTAATGGAAAAGTTTTGAAGTATTTTTTTATGTTCATATGATTAATTTTTATAAATAAACTTACAATTTTTCAAAATCTTCTAAACAAACATTTTATTGTTTAAAAAAATTATTTTTTGTTTTGTTTTTTTCAATTACAATAGGAATGAATGAATTTAAATCTTTTATAATAATTCTTAAATTTTTTAAAATCTTCTAAACAAACATTTTATTGTTTAAAAAAATTATTTTTTGTTTTGTTTTTTTCAATTACAATAGAAATGAATGAATTTAAATCTTTTATAATAATTCTTAAATTTGTTATGTGAAACACTTATTAATTAAGTTATAAATTGCTTGTAATGCTCAAATTAAAATTAAATTAAATTGCTAGTTTTATATATATATATTTTTACAAATAAAAAAATTTAAAACCTCTTTTAACTTGACTTCGTAATTACAGCATGAAATTATTAAAAACTACTATTTCAAAAAGACTACGTTATTTTTTTAAACCTTTTAATTTTTTTTTTATTAATGTTTTATTAAATGTTTAGAAAGAATTAATAACATATATTTTAACATTTAGAAAGTTTTAACATATATTTCAAACGCAATTAAAAGCGTAACAAAAAGTTTCGCTTCAAGTTTTTTATTTATATTTTAGTGCTAAGCTTTATACATATATATATATATATATATATATATATATATATATATATATATATATATATATATATATATATATATATATATATATATATATATATATATATATATATACATATATATATATATATATATATATATATATATATATATATATATATATATATATATATATATATATATATACATATATATATATATATACATATAGACATGTCAGGACCTTCTCTTGAGATTTAATGTGAGTGATGAAACTATTCGTTCACATTTGCACCAACTTGGAAAACGTTGGAAATTGAGCAATTGGGTACCTTATGAATTGAGTGAAACAAATAAGCTACAGCACTTAACCATCTGTTCTTCATTGCTTTCCTGTAACAATTTAGTGCCATTTTTTGACCGGATGTTGACGTGCGACCAAAAATAGATTATGCACTGCAAAAAAAAAAAACATATCATTGATTAGCCAGTAGCGATCCTGTACCGATGACTCTTAAACCACATATTCACCAACAAAAGGTTTTACTGTGTATATGGTGGACTACAGCAGATATCGTTCACTATAAGTTGCTACCAAGTGGACAAACCATTAGTGCTGAGATATACTTGACCTAATTGGACAGAGTTTCAGTTGCTCTTCACTAAAAACAAGCAGGATTGGCAAACAGAAAAGGTGTTGTATTCCACCAGGATAATGCCAGACTGCACACCACAAAAATCACACGGGAAACTCTAGCATGTTTACAATGGGAGATTCTACCTCACCTTCCGTATTCACCAGACCTTGCCCTAAACGACTATTACCTGTTTTTGGTGCTGGATAATCATATGAGGAATCGGCAGTTTCAAAATAGAGAAGATCCGAAAATGAGTTAAATCAATTTTATAGCTCCCAAACTCAAGACTTTTATAAAAGTGGAATATACAAGCTTGTTTTACAATGGGAAAGTCATTCTTGCTGAGAGAGCTATTTTTCAGAATAAACTTTACTAGAATCGTTTTTTTGTGTATTTATTTATGGACCTGCAAAACCGCACAAACTTTATTGGTTACTTGATATATATATATATATATATATATATATATATATATATATATATATATATATACATATATATATACATATATATATACATATATATATACATATATATATATATATATATATATATATATATATATATATATATATATATATATATATATATATATATATATATATATATATATATATATATATATATATATATATATATCGCTTTCACAGGAAGACGTGCCATTTCACGTCTTTATATGACCACGCAAAAAAAAAAAATGTTTTAACGATTTGACCATGGCATATTTTTAAAATTTAAAAACGCGCTACAAAAACTTACCTAAACTTATCTGAAAAAAAATTCAAAAAAATAATAAATCTTAGCGAAAGAGAAAATAGAAAAAATACTTAGTTAAAGCAAACACACAAAAAAATAAATATATATATATATGTATAACGCAACTAAAAAAAAACTCATCAAACTAAAATACTTAGTCTATTAAATTTATGCATTAAAAAACCTTTTCAATCTTTGTTTCAACATTTTTATATATTTTTTATTTATGTAATATGTTCAAAAGTTAAATATTTCTCATAAAAAATTCATAGTTATTTAAATAAAATAAAAAAAACATTTTATAAATACTTTTTTTTAAATTATTTGGAAGTGTTTTTTTTTACTTCATTAAAAGCGTTTCGATAATATAAAAGCATTTAAGATCAAACTTAATAAATTGTAATGGTTTTCTAAAACTTTTTTTTTTAAAGTAAATTGTTACTTTATTTAAAATCGTTTCGCTAATATAAAAACATTTGTTAAGAAGTTTTGATGTAATTAATTTCACTTTTTTAGAATATTTTTTATTTAGCGCGTTTCTAAAATGTTTTTTGAATTAGCCGCGGTCAAACCGTCATAGCAAAATGTAACTTGCGTGGCCATATAAAGACGTGAAATCGTACGTCTTCCTGTGAAAGCCTGTATATATATATATATTAGGTTGTCCCAGCCGCCCCTTACATTCTAAAAAAGATCTTTTCATATTCTTAAAACTTTCTTTTGGTTCTCACAAGCAACTTGGTTAGATTTTTTCAAAATTTTATTGGATTAAGGGGGAACACAAGATCCTTGAACACTTACCGGGTCCCTAATTTATAAAAAAAAAGTTTTTTTAATGTATGCCATGTTGAATCTCAAAAAAGCAACATAAAAATTTTAAAAATAACAATCATTTTATAAAAAAATTATTATTCAAGATTTTTTATTATTATTAAAAAATACACTTTCATTTTTAGTTATAAAAGTTCTTTTTTCTGGAATAAACTCTAATATATATATATATATATATATATATATATATATATATATATATATATATATATATATATATATATATATATATATATATACACACTTAAATTTACATATTGCTTCAAGTATTTTTATTATTTTTGGTTTTTAAACTAAATTTACAATTGATAGATAGTGATTTGGATGTTCTGCATGGTGTTGGAGGAGGTGGTTATGCAGCAAGTGTAGCTGCTAGTGGAAGCAGCTTAGATGATTGTGGTTTACGCTATATGCTTGCAGCTCGACATTATACCGCTTTGCTTAAGTGTGGACGACATAAAAATAATCTACAATTGGTAAGACCTAAAATAGTTTTGTTTTATGTGCCATCATCAAGTAAAAATGGTTTAAATTTTCAGTAACAGCTTTATTATTTTTTCTTTGTTCTTTAAAAATGTGAGTTTTTTTCATAACAATTTTAAGAGAAATGTTTTTGGATAAAACATACATACATACATACATACATACATACATACATACATACATACATACATACATACATACATACATACATACATACGTACATACATACATACATACATACATACATACATACAGTGGTGTACTCTCCTTAACCTTTTTTTCTCTCTTGGGTGAAACTAATGATATAGTTTGTTGAGAAAAAGCTATAAAAAATCAAAACAAAAAACTTACAACTGCAAAAGTAATATCACTCTAGTTACTAACTGCATTATAAAAGTAATAAAACTATAATAGTGTTATTACTTTTATAAAGCACTTATAACTTTTAAAGTTCATTCTTTGTTCAAACAATATTAATAATTTCAAACTTTAATAAAAGTAGATAAGCATCTAGAAAAAATAAAGTGGATATTCAAACATTACTAAAAACTTTAGGAACTTTTACATATACTTTAACAACTGTATAAAAACGTACTTCATAAAGAGTTTGGCATTATGAAAAATGTTACTAATAGACTTTAAAAATGCGTGTTAACTTTAAAATCAACCAATAAAAACTTTTAATTAGTTGATTTTAAAATTAACGCGCCTTTTTACGAACCACTAGTAACGTTTTTCATATTGCTAAACTTTTTATACAGTACATTTAATTGTTTTAACTCAAGTGTAAATTTAAAACTAAAAAAGTTGTTCAAGTTCCTTAATGAGTTTTAAGTATTATTTGAATATCCACTCTATTTTTGTAGATGCTTTTCTACTTCAATTAAAATATAGTTTTATTAATAAGCACACTCTTATAAGTAAAAAACTGTCTGGTCTTCCTTCAGGGCTACTGACAGACATTTTTTTTTTAATTTCAGTCCCCTTTGGAGAAAATGAGTCGTCCCATGCCACCGGATGACCATGAGGTTACACCACTGACATGCCACTGTTCCACACTTCACCACATTTTAGGAACCACTGATTAAGTGGATTTAATTACTATGTTGTAAATGAGAACATATTAAATAGCTTATTAATTTATTTTTTAGCAAGTTTTAAACATTACTTTAATTTTTCAAATAAAGTATTTTTTAATTTTTTTAATTTTTTTTTTTTTGAAATGTATATATCTTAAAAATTACCAGGGAATGCGTACCTCAGATATTTGCTGGGCTTTTCACTCTGATTGTAAAGAAGACTTACTCACTGTTATACCGAGTATGTTAAAGAATTCAACAACCTGGAAAGATCTGCGCGACCATGGTGCTGGCTGGTGGATCAGGAGCAATGATATGTTAAGAAGAACAGTTGAAAAGGTTATTTTCATGTTTGTTGCATTTATGCACTAAATGATATACTGTTTATTATATTTGTTGAACATTTCAATAGGTTGCAAAGGTTCAATTTCAAATAAATCAAGATCCCATGGATTGTGCATTGTTTTATCTTGCAATGAAGAAAAAGTCTTTATTGTGCACTTTGTATAGGTACCTTTTTTTATTATGCATTTTGTTCAGGCATAGCTTATCTAGCATCTCTGGTTGTTAGTGAAAATTTATGACATTTTAATTTTAAAATATTTGAACATTCATATCAGGTCACTCCTTTCGCTTAAAGAGCATCCAAATTTAACAATTTTTTTTTTGATTAAACAAATTAAAGGCTAAAGCAAAAAATAAAATGATCTCTCATTTTTTATTGAACTTATGATAAAGGGTTGTTGCTCAACTTTTTTTTTTTTTTTTTAATTTGCATTCACTCTCAACAAGGCTGTAAGCAACCACTATTAAGTTGGGAGTTACTAGGAAAAAAAAAGAACAGAGTTATAGAGCAAGGAAACGGTTGACAGAAGACTTGAAAAGTTGAAGGTTGTATGAGTCAGGAAAACATGAAGATGGGAGAGAGTTCCAAAGGATTGAAGTGCGGGGAAAAAAACTAGATGAATAAAAGTTTTTAGAGCATGCAGGGACAGATACAGTAAACGAATGAGACTTAGCTGAATGACGAGTAAAACGAGAATGAATTTTAGTTGATGGAACTAGAGATGATAACTCCTTTGAGCAGTGACCATGATAGTATTTGTAGAAAAGAGAAAGAGATGCAACTTTACGACGCTGGGAAAGAGGCTCAAGCTTAGCAGATAGTCCAGGTCCAACAACATATACAATGCGTTTTTGGACCTTGTCAAAAAGAGAAAGTGAATCGTTAGAAGAAGCCTAAATATGACAACAGTATTCCATATAGGGACGAATAAGAGATTTGTAGAGGTAGAGAATGGAATCAGAAGTAAGGAAATGGCGAACACGATAAAGAGAAGCAACCTTAGCAGAAGCTAATTTAGCAATTGATTGTATATATGGTTTCCATGATAGGTCAGTAGTAAGCGATAATCCAAGAAGACGTAAAGAGGAGGACTCAGTAAGAGGATTGCCATTCATTAACATAGGAATGTTGACCATATTACGGTAGTTGTTTGCAGTAAACAACTGGGTTTTGTTAGAGTTGAAATTCACAAGCCACTGTGAACCCCAATCTATTACTAAAGTGAGATTGGATTCAAGATCAGCTGCTTGTTTTAGGCGATTGAAAAGAGAAGACTTTTTGTCAAGACAGGAGTATAAAGTTGAGTAATCAGCAAAAAGAGCTACTTTAGATAAAAGGTTGTCAGGAAGATTGTTTATGTAGATAATAAACAAAACAGGGCCCAGGATGGAACCTTAAGGAACCCCAGAAGTTACTGGAAATAAAGAAGAGTGTTGGCCTTCAAGGATGACTTTAATAAACCGGTTAGAAAGAAATGATTTGATAATCTCAAAAACTTTCCCAGAAACATCATATGAAGCAAGCTTATGGAGAAGACCAGCATGCCAAACTTTGTCGAAAGTTTTAGATATGTCGAGAGCAATAGCCCTAGCCTCACCGCCTCCATCTAATGCACGATAAAATCTTTCAGTTACAGCAGTTAGCAAGTCGGCCGTAGAGCGAGAAGGATCGAAAACCGTATTGATTGTCTGACAGCAGTTTATTTGACTCAAGATGAGATGTGAGGAATTTGTTGATCAAAGACTCAAAGACCTTGCTAATAACAGAAAGAAGACTGATCGGACGATAATTGGAGGGGTCAGAATTTTCTCCAGAGTTTTTGAATATTGGAACCACAGATGTCATTTTCCAACAAGCAGGAAAACAAGACTTAGTCAAACACTTGTTAAATAGTTTAGAGAGAATTAAAGAAAGTTCTGGAGAACAATTCTGCAAGACTGTGACAGGAATGTTGTCTGGACCACAAGCTGTAGACGAGTTTAATTGAGATATGACTTTAGCAACAGAAGCCGGAGTGATTTGAATGTCTAACAATGGGTCAACCTGTTTGACTGGAATGGAAGGAAGAGAATGTCCATAAGATTCAAGAGTGGAATTAGAAGAAAAGTTCTTTGCAAATAGTTCTGGGTTATCCTTGGGAGAGGTAATAAGATCAGTCCCATGAATGAGAGATGGAATATTAGATCTACCCTTGTTAATAATGTTGTTGAAGGTTTTCCAAAAGTCTTTAGAGCCTAACTTCTGTGATAAGATGCAAGATTTAGTGAACTGAGAATAATGGAGTTTAGCATAAGAAAGCACCTTTTTACATCGATTTCTTGCAATAATAAATAAACTTTATTGATTAATAAATTTTGTTGATTTGTGTATTACTAGCAGTAAGCTTGTATTACACAAATTAACCTGTAATACAGGTTATTAGTAACTAAATTGTTAGTAACACTATCAATTGATATTTTATCATTATTGAATATAAATCTAAATAATAATAACATCAGTTACGTTCTATTTAACATTAGTTACAAAATAACAGGTTCCAATAAGAAATAAAAAAATAAAATTACAGCTTTCATTTACAAAAATATTATTTCAGTTTATTCTTTAATAGAATTACAATAATAATAATAATAATATAAAAGAAAATAAAGAATAAAAAAATAGCTATAACAGCCTACCTCTATCAACACAAAACACAGTAGCAAATAGCATAAGATATATGTAAGTACATATTACATTTTGCTAAATATTAGCAAGCTGTCTCCAGGATAATTTAAAAAGGCTAGATAACACAACCTAATAACACTAATTGGCGCTGCCAAATATCACTACAACTGCCAAATATCAATACAATTTATCTATTAAAATACTTGAACTGAAAGGGTTTGATATTACAAAAACCCAAAAAATTAGTTATGGTTGATCTGTTTGACAACTACCATTTATATTGGGTGTCTGCCAATTTATGTTTTTTTTACATGATCCTCGAACTGTTTTCTATGATTTAATTAATAGTTGCAAAAACTCAACTACAGTAATAATGGACTTAAAACAGAAAAAACCTTTTCAATTGAAAGTATTAAATCATCAGTAAAATCAATATTAAAAGTGTTGAGAGAAGATTATAAAATAATCTACCAGGTAAAATCTTGCATTATTTAAATGATTTACAACTGAGAAAGGTTATGTCAGTATGAGGCAGAACCATTTGCCATGACTTTTTTAATACTCCAAAGTTTAATACAATAAGTTTTAGTTACTGGTAACAAATAACATATACAGTGGTGGCCAAAAACTAAAGACCACTCTTTTTTTTTTCAAAATTTATTTTTAACCTTCAAAAAAACCTTATCAAAAAAAGAAAAACATTTTTAGAAAGAATTTTTATTTTATTTTATATTTATTATAAAAGAATTTATAATTTTTTTACAAAATAATGTTAAAAAATTAAAAAACTGACTATTAAAAAATATAAATGGAAAAAAAAATTGGACAAAATTTAAAGACCAGTTTCAAAAATATTTCAAAAAGCAATAAAAAAATAATTTAGAAACATGTTGTTCCTCCATTTGTTTTCAAGCACTCTTGTTCTCGTTCTGGCATTGAATTCAATAAAGTTTTGATTACATTATCTGGCACATTATTCAAATGATGAGAGATAGAAGATTTCAAATCTTCCAAATTGTAAAGTTGTTCTTTACCAAGCTTGTGATCAAGCCATGACCATAAAAAAGCTGCAGCAGTTGTCACAGAAAAAGTGGCTGATTTTTGGTTGAATATTAGCGACAGCATTGTCTACTCAGTTAGAGATGGAGCTTCCATGATAGTTAAGTTTGGAAAACTGGTTTTAACTGAGCATCAAACGTGTTACACCTATGGAATTCATTTGACAGATCAAAAAGTCCTGTACAAGAAGCTTTTTTTAAAAAATTGATAACAACTCATTGCACGTAACAAGCAATGAAGATGAAGTCAGCAGTGACAAATCCAAATCTGACACCGCAATCAGTTTTCTTGATGCTGCCATGGATAAAAACATTCCCATTCCAAAAGTGAAAGTGCAATTGCAATCTTTCATCACAAAAATCCGAAAAATTTTCAAGTTGTTTTGAAAATCTCTAGTCAAAAATGACATCCTCTAAGAAGAAATCAAGAAACAGCACAAAAAAGATGTTTTAGTTATCCTTGACTGTCGGACAAGATGAAACAGTCTACTGTCGATGATTCAACAGTTCTCAAAGTTAAAGATTCATTTAGAAAAATATTGAAAGATATTTCTCCACATTTGATTTGCAGTGATGATGAAGTAAACATTTTATACAACATTGTTGCTGCTCTTAAACCAGTCAAATTGGCAGCAGAAGCCCTTTGCCGACAGGATGTAGCTCTTGTGAACAGACTGAAACAACAAGATTTTGCATTGAATGAGGAGTGCATTTTTAAGACGTTTTGAAGGGAGAAGGCAGATCAATCTTGTAAACTTGCACAGATACCTTTCCAATTCAGAATGTTTATCTGACATAAAATAACATGGAGTTTTCAAAATGCCTTCAAAGTCTGCACTTCAAAAGTCTGTCAAAGATTTATTGTTTAGACTATTCCCAATAAATCCAGATGACTTAGAATTCAACATGGCACTGTTAAAACTCTGATATTTTACAGCTGTTGATGGAATCAGTCTCTCTGAGAGCTACCATAGAGTTTGGAAAGCCTGACTACCAGCCAGGCTTAAAATAATAAAACTAATTTTTAGAGCTGTACCCTTATTAGGAGATAATAGAATGAGTTGCCTAGTCATAAAAGCAGAGTCACAAAACCCATGCAATCAGTCGAGATGATCCACCATTCAACATCTCAAACTGGAAACAATGTATTATAAATACATTTATAAAGAAGAGGTGCGAAGTTGGTCAACAGATTTTTTAATCTTTTAGTTTTTGCTTAGGAAGTCTTCTACAAGGCAGTAGCCTGGTCAACAGATATGTTTACCCCCTCAACAGATATGTCTACCCCCTGGTCAACAGATATGTTTACCTCTTAAATCTTTGACAGAGACACTTCTTTTACTAGACAGTAGCTGGATACATTTAATGTTTGTTCAAGATAAGCGTTATTATTGAGACACCATCTGTAGTCTTTACTCAACCAAGAGAACCAAGGCAGGAGGTAATTTCTCTTAAAAATTTATAATCTGGAATAGTATTACTTCTTGCTATACAAGCTTTCTTTCTTGTCTAGCAGCATCTCATACATTTTGTAGATAATTTATTTCATTATGCCTAGGGCATATCTCTTTCATTTTTGCAATGATTATCTTTAACTTGCCTAACTTCATTGTCCTCATTTGGGTTTAATATTAGAAATATAGTGATTATATTATTATCTGCCTGGCAGCATTTTGTACATTTTGTAGACGATTAGTTTTATCTCATCTATCTGTCTTTTATTTCGATAATTGTTATCAACTCCCCTTACATCATTATTTTGATTAGGGTTTAAACTAATTTCTGCTTGGCGGGAAATAATTTCTCACATTTTTAAGACAAATAATTTTATCTCAACTAGGTCATTCATTTCATTGGCAATTATATATTTGCCTTACCACATCATCCTCATTATGGCTCAAATTAATTTCTTGCTTCTAAATACTTGCAGTGCAGCATTTCTTACATTTTGACGATGATTAATTATATTTTAACTAGATCTATCTCTTTCATTTCGAAAACAATTATTTTCAAGTTGCCTATTAACATTTACATTAAATACTTATCAATCCTAATTTCATTCATCTCAAATTCACTTTTTTCATTAAACATATTTACCAGCAATATTATTACTGTTACTACTGAAGTAATAATTAAAAGTAAAAGAACCAAAGGAATTGTTTGTTTTTTTTAATTTAAGATTATATTTTAGTTTAAGGTTTACTGAAGTTCATATCTTTTTATATGTTTATATAGATAACTGAATGTATAAGTTATAAATTAGTATGACAAAAAAAAAAAAAAAATGATTATGAAATGAACTTAAATGTTAGTCAAAAATAAAAATAATATTCATTAAAATCAATTATTCTTAATTTATTAAAGAATGAAGACTAAAATTCACAATCTTGTTTAAAAAATGAAGTCATTCAGTATATTTTACTCTAAAGTAATAAAAAAGATGAAAAAATTTAAGAGCAAATTTAACAATTTAAGAAATATGTATATATTTACATACATTTGAAAAAAAGCATAACAGTTTAATCAAAGAAACATGGAGAAGTATAATGATTTTTTTGACTACTTCAAGCAGAATTTATTTTTTCTATTCTTTATTATTCTTTCTAAGAGAAAATATACATATAGATACAGAGAAATATATATAGATACAGAGAAATATATATATATATATATATATATATATATATATATATATATATATATATATATATATATATATATATATATATATATATATATATGTTTTTTTTCTCGCCTTTGTAAATATGTTTTTTTCGTCTAGAAAAAAAACATATTTACACCTAATGATTGCATTTAGCATAAAACTAATAGTTGTGAAAAATATGCAGTTTTATTTATAAATAATATATATATATATATATATATATATATATATATATATATATATATATATATATATATATATATATATATATATATTTATATATATATATATATATATATATATATATATATATATATATATATATATATATATATATATATATATATATATATATATATATATATATATATGTATATATATATATATGTAAACAGGTCAAACAAATGACAATCCTTTTTTATTTAGTTTTTCCCGTTAAATACATAAAAATATATTCAATATAAAGTAATTTTAACTTAAAATAAAATTGAATAATAGACTTACTCAAATCAAGTAAACAACCAAGACAAAGACAAAGTAAACAACCAAGAACATTAAATTAAATAAAACAAAGAACAACATCAATTCTCCTGAAAAGCTACAAAAAATTTATCAGGTCTAACTTAATGGTCTAGGTTAATTTGCTTGCAAACTTTGCTTGAAAAACCACGTGTACATGAGGAAATGCATATAAAAAAAGACTTAATGCAACGTTAAACATAATACTGACTGGACTAATTATATTTAGAAGAAGAATTGAATTAAAATAATTTTGCTGCGAAATACGAGATTGATTTAACTTTGTATTTTTTTAATTTAGGTCAATATTTTATTTTATCAAGTTTTCTATGAAAAATAATTATAGTGTTTTTTATTTATTAATGATAATAATAATATATATTGATTATATCCTCAATTATATGTTTATTATATCTCCTAATAATTTTTTTTTCCACTGATAGATCATTAAGAGATAACAAAATGTCACTTTTTTTTGCCAATGACTTCACACAAGATAGATGGAGAAAAGCAGCATTAAAAAATGCATTTGTACTATTGGGTAAGCAGAGGTTTGAACATGCTGCAGCTTTTTTCCTATTAGGAAATGCATTATGGGATGCAATTCAAGTATGTATATTATTATTTGTACATGTTTTTAACTATTTTAAAATAAAAACATTGAAGAACTTAATATATAATTTTAATTAAATTTTTATTCAATGTAAATTAACTTATTTTATAAATTAATTTAAGAGTTTATGAATAATTTTTAACATTTGAGTTACTCTAAACACCAACTATAACTCTTTATTATTGCAAAATAAAATTACATAAAATATTTTTTCTTAAAACTTTGTTTAGTCTTTCTTCTATTTATAGAAGCACAAAATTCTATAGAAAGTATTTTTATTGTTTTTTGAAAATTAATATTAGGTTTGTCTTATTCGTCTGAAGGACATTCAATTGGCATTAGTAATTTCTCGTTTATATGAAAATAACAATGACGTGCATAACGAAATCTTACAGAGATATGTTATACAAGGTGAACTGGATCCGCCTATTACAGGTAAGCTTGTTATCGAAAGTGATTTATCTGTTACAGCTA